AATAATTAGATTTAAAAAAGAAAAGTAAGGAATTTAAATGTTTTACATAATATATTTGGCCTTATCACACAAAACTGTCAGATGTCATGTTGGTAGTACTTCAAAATGTAATTTAAATCTAATTCCCAATTAAGACTAAACAATATTGTTTACAAAAAAGAATATTTTAGAACATATATATCTAATCCAGCAAATATTGAACAGCTACTATATGTGACTCACTGTATTAGGAAATAGAGATACATCACTTTAAAAAGTGATGCAATGACAATTATTGTTGCCATCTCAAGTTACACAGAGACATCCCACAGGCTAAGTGTTTGTTGTCAGCATGGGCTACATTCTTAAAAATATCCTGAGATTCCAGAAAGCACATTGTTGTACAGTAATTCCATGCATTCTGAGAGACAGACTTCAGTAAAAAGTTAACTACTTCTATGCAATGTTTTATAGATTTGAAGACTAGAGTTGGAATCATAAACCAAGAGCTCCATTTGACTTAACTTACTAATTTTTATTATTATGTCATTTGTTCTTATAATAAAATTAAGAGTATAACTTGTGATTCCTATCTTCTAGTCATCTTCAGGGTATACAATGATATTTGGGGATAAAAAGACTATTCTGTTAGTTCTAAGGAGGATTGCTACCTCATTTCCAAATTCACTGGACAATGTCCAATATCCCTTTTCTTAGGGCCTATTCCTTTTGAGCATTCCTCTCAGTACTCTGTCCTTCTTTGGGTTCTGTTAATCATTTTTATTGGGTTCTGCTTGCACATCTTGCTGGCAAATGCCAGATCCCATACCTTGATCAATCTCCATGACTCCACTGCTTTTAAAATGTAGATTCCACTTTTTGTCTTTTCTCTCCTTGTTTGACCCATCCTTCCTTAGTGACCACTGAGTCATCAACTATGTGTATTTTCTGTCCTGAGTACCTGACCCAGGGCCGTGGGCATCTTAACCTTAACTTGTCAAAACTGAATTTCTTTTCTTTCCTGACTCTTACTCACAGCGTTTCCTAATGTCCTGAGATAGCACAGTACTTGGCATATCAAAGTGGTTCTGATATTTTAGTGAGTTGAGAGAATATTAAAACACAAACTGCTTAGAGTTTGCAATTCTCATTCAGTACTAGGTCCAAGTGGAGAATACAAATGTGCCTTTCTAACATCCTAGGTGGTACTGGTATTTGACCACTGCCCTCTTGAGAACCATTAGCCCACAGCAATCAATTAACATTTGTTAGATCAATAATTTCCATGTTAGTGAATGGTTAAAATGCATAGTATAGTCTCAGAAATCAAACTTGACTCAGTATGAATAAATGATAAGAAATAACTATAGAAATTTTGTTCTGAAGGAACAAGGTAGATTGTTTGGCCTCACACCCTCTTGCTGCAGATTAGGACATTGAAGCCTAATGGGATGCAATGAATTTTGTAAGGAAAAGAACTGGATTTCAACCAACACTGACTTGCCTTAAAAATAAAATAAGTTTCACATGTGATATTTGTATGCGTTTTCCAAAGACAGACATGGAGCAGCTAATTTTTCCTCTAGATGACTAGGCCTTTTGCACATACACACAGATTTTCTCCAAATGAATACCACGCAGTGAAATGTTAACACTGTCTCTTATACCCCTAAGATGCATACAAATAATTGAGAAATCTAGAGCTCAGTGTTCTAAGGCTAAAATCCTCACCCCTCCAAGCATTGTTTGGGCAGGAAGCATGTTGAGAAGAGTAAGCAGAGACTGCTGGACACCGGCTGGTAGTGAATTATTTATTTGGCCAGAACGGAAAGGACTTTCATCACTGTTGACAGAGTCCAAGCTGTAGTGGTCCTATTGTCTGACGCTGTTTTATTTTCCCAAGTCCGGGTGTTTGACACGACTCATCATCAGATGCCATACTTGCTCATAGGGGGCTTTTGTTTAAAGGCAAAGGGACCACACAGCAGAGAAAGAGACACAAATAAGCATCAGAAGCCAATGTTTTTCCCAGAGTGAGCTCCCCATGGGTGAGCACCTGGGGTGAGCTGTCTCTGTTTTCTTCCATCAGGATCTGTGCAGGGAGCCTGGTTTAGGGAGCGCTCGCCCACAAAGCTCCCAGAGCTTTGGATCTAGTTAAGCCAGACTAGTTAAACTGTTATCTGGGAAATTGGGGGTACTCTTCCTCACTGGGTGCTGAGTGTGGGGTCCTTATTGATATCTTGAGAAAAAGAATTTTCTGAGGCCTGCATGGGAGGATGAGTGGTTTTTATTTGTGGAATTACACCCCTTGGTTTCCAAAGTCCCATTCCAGTCATAGAAGTATAGCTGGGGGTTCAGTAGAGCTAAAAGCAAAGCCAGTGTCCAGAGTTTCCATTCCATGTTGCACCCAGTCCAGTTCAGCATCAGGCTAGTTCCAGTCCATTAGTTCAGTTTGTGGGGGGACAACATGATCATGGGTCATGTAGGCCAGGGTCAGGAAGAGGAGCGATAGAGCCCCACAAGGCAGGAGTCAATTGTGCCACTCCACGGATTCCAATGTGTGACGGATTAAATACCCTAATTTCATGCCCTGCCATGGCCACGCCCATTCTGGCCAATGACCTGTTCCCAGGTGTGACTGACAAACGAATACCTTCCCAATGCCACCCCAACTCCACTGGGCATGTGTCTGTTCTCCTTCTGCAGTCCCATGCCCCAGTAATCTGCAGGGAACAGACCGGTGGCTCCTAGGGGAGAGTAAAGCTTTAGCTTCCTGGCGAAACTGCCCAAAGATATGTCTATAATATTTGGCCTTCCCTTTGCGCTTTTCCTGGTATTGATAACTAGGTTAATTACAATGGTATCAAAATCAAGTAAGTTAGTTGTAAGTCATGAATGCAGAAGTTAACCTAGGGGTCTCCAGTGGTATTTTAGACCCTGAAAAGTCCACCACATGTTCCCACTGCCCCCTTTTTGTCTAAGTAAAAAGTGGGCACAGAAATGTCTCCAGAAATAAAGGTAGAGCATTTCCAGACAACTGCAAATCAGCTTCACCCTCCAGAGCCGTCCGCAGAGAAAGCCATGGGAGTTGCTTTCCTATGGACCAGCTGGTGAGGGCCCAGCAGACCAAATCCCGGTTTCCAGAAGTGAGCTAGCATACAGAGATTAGGCAGGAATATGGATTGGGAGCTCTTGGGAAATATTAACTCTGTACTTCTCAGGCACTTACTAGAAGTCATTTATAGACAATGGCTGTGACAGCATCGATGCCTAAAAGTCAAAATGCTTAAATAGTAATCTAGTTGCTTCATATATATATATATATATATATATATATATATATATATATATATTCTTTTGTGGGCTTTAATACTTCAAGGGGATAAGCTGGTGACCAAATAAAGGAATTTTCATGACAAAATTGTATTTCATTAGAAGAGTGGTCGGCAAACTCATTAGTCCACAGGGCCAAATATCAACAGTACAATGATTGAAATTTCTTTTGAGAGCCAATTTTTTAAACTTAAACTTCTAATGCCACTTCTTCAAAATAGACTCGCCCAGGCCATGGTATTTTGTGGAAGAGCCACCCTCAAGGGACCAAAGAGCCTCATGTGGCTCTCAAGCCGCAATTTGCCAACCACTGCATTAAATGATACTAATCTTTCAAAGGGAATATTCAAACAATATGAACTTTATATGTAAGGGAAGTATGTGGGAAAATTGAAGGAATTCAGTTGCTGTTATTCATTAGCTGTGCCTGTTATCAATTACAATTATAATCACAAGAAGTGCAGACAAGGAGGCAGAAGACCTAGATTTTCTAGACTGAACTCTGCTAACTGGCAGGTCTGAGAAAAAAAAAAAAAAAAAAAAAAAAACTTTCCTTGATAATACATCAAATGTGTTTTGTTTAAGGGAAGAATCATATTCCAGTATCTTTATCTGGTTTTATTACTCACTGTTTTTTTATTATCAATTTTATTTCTGTACACTGATACTAATTTTGAGAGCTTTAACTCATTGTTTTTTCAAAGCATGGCATCATAATTACCTGTTTTTGAAACATTAAAGGCATTTTTCAAATGTAAAAATGATGAGTCATCTGGGGTCCTTCTAAGATGTAGGTGCTGATTTCATAGATCTGGGATGAAGCCTGAAATTCCCTTCTAATAAGCTCCCAGGTAACATTGGTGTTACAATGTCCTGTTTAACTAGCAGGGATGTTTTAAAAAATAGTGACTCTGTGTGTGTAAGGGAGCATGTGTGTAAATTCACAGGGGCCTGTACATCAAGGGAATCATCTCAGAGTTAAGCCTGAAGATCTGCATTCCCAAAGAACAACCCCCCACCTAAGTTTATAAATACCCGAGTTTAAGAACTTCTTGGTTAAATGAACTTAACTATCTGAGTTAAATTCCTACTATGAAATTAGGTGGATCTAGTCTCACCCTTGTGTTCTCCTGAGTCCTAAATTGAAGCAGGACACATTCTCTTATTTTGCAAGGCATCTGTTTCTTAACTTGCGAACAGCTGCCAAGCTCTCTGCCTGGATGTTCCAAATTGAATTAGGTCTGCTCTTTCCCTATAAGGTCTGAGATAAAACTTTTGTATTGTCCAAAGTTACCAGATTCTTTCTTCAAATTAAGACTCAAGGAGCAACTTCAAACTTCTTTTGGAACTCAGCTAAAAGTGAAATTTAAAAAAAGAATGTGTGTGTATGTGTAAAAATTTTATTTTTACCCCATCACTGGCTTTTCTGGGGCTACAACCTTAAACTCACTCTGAAATCCTTTTGTGCCTTCTCTCCATAACATCTCAGGTTATACAGGAAAGATTTACCTAAATAAGTACCTTCTACAATATGTGACACAGAATAGTGACATTAAAACCTAGTACATGAATTCCTTCTTTCTTTTTGTTATTGTTATTCAGGTGTTATTGAATATAGCAAAGTAACATGATGATTTCTCATTCAGCCTAACAATGGTTTTCATTTTCTTTTTTTTCTGTCATTACAGTATAAGCAAGTGGAACAATACATGTCATTCCACAAGTTGCCAGCTGATATGCGTCAGAAGATTCACGATTACTATGAACACAGATACCAAGGCAAGATCTTTGATGAGGAAAATATTCTCAATGAACTCAATGATCCTCTGAGAGAGGTAAGGTTTCTAGTCCTGGACCTCCTTGGTGTGTGGTCATTGTCTTCTTTCTCTGTCCATGGGAAATCCTGAGGTGCATGCTATCTATCATATTGCTCAAAAGAAATATTAAAATTAAATAATAAGACATCGTTTTTTGTTCTGATTCTTTATTATGCTTTCCCATACACATGTTTTTTATTGTTAAAAAAATATATACTGAAAATTGCCCAGGTGGCATTACTCAGTGGTTGAACATCAACCTATGAGCCAGGAGGTCATGGTTTGATTCCTGATCAGAGTACATGCCCAGGTTTTGAGCTCAATCCCCCTGTGGGGCATGCAAGAGGTAGCTAATTAATGATTCTCTCTCTTCATTGTTTCTATATCACTCTTCCTCTTCCTTCCTCTCTGAAATAAAAAATAAATATATTTAAAGTAAATACTGGAAATTGTTTAATTATGATTCTCAGAACTGTTTATTTCTGTGTCCCCAGTTATGAAAATTTCTTCATGTGTCCTGATTGTCTACATCTTCCCATTTTTCCACCCTCTTATATAATTATTACATACTGTTACTTTATCTTTCTGATTTCCACTCTTTTTTCATGTTTATTTTTTCTGTTCATCTCCTAGATTCACTCACAGACTCACCTCACCTGTTACAAGTAATTCCTTATAACCTCATTACAACACTGCTTTGTGTCTTCTTTCCATCCTTCTCTAGAAATCTCCCCTCTGCCTACTAGAATGTTCAGGTCACCCCTGGACTGAAAGAATATTCTCTTTAATGTTCATATTTCTTACAATGCTTTGCTCTATTTTCTTTCTTTTACTACCAAACTTGTCAAAAGATTCCCAATAGAATCCTTGCATTGTGATTTGATCACATCTTTACCAAAACTGTTCCCTTGAAAGTTATCAATGACCAGTTAATCAAGGCTTTTGCTCTTGAGCCCTTGTTGGTAACATTTAAATTGTTTAAAAAATACACATCTGCGTTGTGTGTGTTTTTTTGAGGAGAGGGGCAACTTAAGCACTGAATCGTTACTGAGTCATTGACTTGACATTGTACCTTTCTGAATTTACTCTTTTCTATTTATTTGACCTCATACTTCCATTCTGTAAATTTGAGCTCCAAGTTCTTGCCATAAACTTCAGCTTTTTAAAAGCTATATGTCATCCAGCCTCATACATATGATAAGCTATTTCATAAAGTAATGTAATCATTCAACGCTGAGACATTTGTTTTTTGAAATCTCTATAAATGTTTTAGTCACTTTCTCACGTTCATGTGGAATATAAAACTTTGAAATTTTTTCCGCTCTTCACATTCAATCAATCACCACAAATGCTATCAATTAACTGTAATAAGCATCTTATGCCCAGACCCTTGTCTCCTTTCTCAATGCCATCACCCTAACGGTTCCTCTCAGAGGGAGTAGTTGCACCATAGCTAGTTGCCTTCCATCTTTTAGTCTGTTTTCTCTACCACTGAAAATTTCACCAACGCCAGATTAATCTTCCTTTATGATTACAAACTGATCATTTCTCTGCTCTGAAACTTTGTCTTTCCATTCCAAATCAAATCACATAAAGCCCCTTAAGCTCCCATCCTAGCCCTTCTGTGCAGGATATCTGCTATGCTAATGATCAGCTTGTATTCTCAATAAAGTCCTCAATCAAATAGAAATATGTAAACCTTTTTGCATTGGGAAACAAAATTCAATTCTTTTTATATTTAAGAAAAGTAAGATATTATTTGTTTGTTTTTAAATCTTTCTATATGCTTAGCTTTCTCACTTGGTTGGATTTCAGAATTTGTATTAAATCCAAATCCCCTTCATTGAAGGGCAGAATCTTAGGACATTGGAAGCAGGTTGGGTTCGCTGAGGCCTGGAGAGATTCCAAGGAGGGTGGGTCAAGCCATAGCAGAGAGATACAGGTAATCCCAGAGACAGTATCAGGGATGAAGACAGATCAAAACATAGGAGGCTACAATAAAACTAAGGATTTATTTTAAATTAGCAGGACAAGGAAGGATTCCAGAATCAAATGTTATGGAGGAAATACAGAAAGACAATAGAAAAAGTGAGCATAAAATAGACCCTAAGAACTTGAATGCTTAAATGCAGATCATTCCTCTGTGCTACAAATTCTCAATGTAATGTAAAATCAGGATAACAAGAAAACGGATCCTAATCTTGTGTTTTACTGTCTGCTCTTGCACGCTTTCATTTATTCTGATCTTCAGTAGAAAAATATTCCACTTTCATTTTCCCTCATAATGTCATCCACAGACATAGCTCCCATTTCCTCATTTCCTGCAACTGTTCCATCATTAAGTGGTGATGAATTGTTTTCCTTGTATTTTCAAATGTCATAATTTAGGGTCTCAGCATATTTTACTTCAACTGCTGAAGAGCACTCTCAACTTTTCTCCCTGCCTTTCATCTCAGCGGGGAAAAAGTAAGGCTACTATAGACTGATATAAAACTCAAGTTTAATGATGTTGCTCTGTTCTTAGAACCTGATCATAACCTTCTATCTCATGCAAAAAAATTCCAACTTATTGACATGGCACATAGGTGCTTCATGGACTGACTCCATCTTCATTTCTATATTCTCGCTTCATCAGCTGAGAATTGTTGATAATTTGAGGGGTAGGGGGGAGTTGAGGGGAATACTATTGATTGTCCCTTTGCCTTGCTTCATGCTACCCTCTATCTTCAATCCCTTCTGCTCATCTTACCTTCTTTTCATTAAACACTCTTGCAGGACACACATTCTTCCTAAATTCTCCCTGATCACTCCTTCTCTGTCACTATACTTATCTGTCAGTTTGTCTCTTCTCAAACCATGAGCTCCTACTTTTTAATCTATTTTTTTAATCTTTGCCCAAGGACGTGCTTTCCTTGATTTTAGGGAGAGAGAGAAATGGTGGGGGGGGGAGAGTGAGAAAAAGAAACATCAATGTGAGAGAGAAACATTGATTAGTTGCCTCCCCTATGCACCTCAAGCTGAGATCAAACCTGTGACCTGGTTATGTGCCCTTTCCAGGAATCGAACCCATGATCTTAGGTGCATGGGATGACCATACTGAGCCACACTGGCTAGGGCAAAACTATGAGCTTCTTGAAGACAGAGACTGTGTATTAATATTTTTGTCTCTCTAGTGACCAGTACATACTAGGAACTCATTAAATATGTACTGAGTGAATGATCTTTAACAGAATTAAGAATGAAAAACAGGGTGAGAATCAAGGCTACTTAATAAATAGAGATCCTAGAAGTGGAAGCATGAAATGCTCACACACTTAACACCTTAAAAAGGTGAAAACAATGTTCTTCAATTGTTTGTTTGTTCTTCAGCCTTTTCTTTTCTGGCATTGGACTCACACAAAAGCCTAAATTTAATGTTATACTGAAGTAAGAATTCATTAGCAAGGAAGCAGGATGAGCAAGATAGGAAAGTAGGGAAAGGCATCTGCAGAGACATACCTTAGTAGAAGTCATTATTCAAATACACCTTGAATCTAAACAAGCCAGACATGTTTTCTGAAGAAAAGCTCAATAAGAACAATGGGGGGTATATCTTGCTTCCTATTACATTGGAGTGTTATATATCAGCTACTAGTCTATTCAACTCATAGATCATGAGACATATTTGGAAAATAGTGAAATACATTATTCCACCTTCCAAAAGCTGCACTCCAATTGGAAGATGAGGCACAAACTTATGCAAAAGTGTATCTTGGTCACTTTTGTGCCTCTAGTGTGAGAAGTTACCTGGCACATAGAAGACATTGAATGATTGATATGTCAAATGTCAGATTAGTAAAACTAGGACACCCAGAAAGGGAGGGTTGGATTCTTTGATATATGTCCTGTGACAGACGGTAAAAAATATATGATGTGCTTGGTACAATTTCTGATCCATACAATTTTGAGTCAACAATCACCACATTTGTAATAAGACTTTTAACTTAAAATGCTTTATTATTTGGAAGCTCATTTTTATGAAAGTATTTTAGATACAATAATTTCAGATTCTAATGTATATTTAAGAGCAGTGATTTTTGCTAATACAGCCAGGATACTCAGGAATGTACAAAAGTGAAGGTAAAGTCCTACCTTCAGACTCTCCAAAACTTACACACACAAAAAGACTATTGCTTAAAAATAGAGAAGCTGCCCTAACTGGTTTGGCTCAGTAGATAGAGAGCATCAGCCCACTGACTCAAGAGTCCCAGGTTCAATTCTGGTCAAGGGCATGTATTTTGGTTGTGGGCACATCCCAGCAGGAGTGTGCAGGAGGCAGCTGATTGATGTTTCTCTTTCATTGATGTTTCTAAGTCTCAATTTCTCTCCCTCTCTGTAAAAAATCAATAAAATATATTTTTAAAAGAAACTAAAATGCAATGTTTAGGAATATGAATGTCATTCTATATTTGTAATCAATTAAGTTCACATTATGTTTTATCCACTTTATATCCAAGCCTTTCTTTTCAATGTGTTTGAAGACTTTTAAGTATGAAAAATTTTGAGTGTGTAAAATGGCAGAAAGAATTATGAATGTGCGTGACCTTATAAAACCTTACAAAAGTTTTGCATTGTGCATTTGCAAATGAATTCAGTTAGTAGATATCTCAAAAGCACTGCTTTATTGAAAGCATTCTCGTATTTCCATTTCTGTGGCCCAAACTGGATGCTTTTCCTTATTTTTACATTGGAGATAAATTGCTGAGATGCCCTCAACCTGGCTCATTCTTAATGCTCAAATCTCTACACAAATATCACCTCCTTATAGAGGCCTTCCCTGAGAAGGTCATCTAAACTAGTTCTCCGCATCCTTCTCACCACATCAGCCTTCTCCTTGTGTATACATCACTCTATTGTCTTGTGGTCCCTTCATCGTTATTTCTTAATTGTTCATTCTGTTATACAAACTCTGGACCCCAGAAAGCAAGGACTTTTTCTTAACTGCCACCATAATCCCGGTCCATAGACAGTACTTGTTT